CTAGTTTTCACGATAAATGGAAATATTTATATAGTTTCACAATAAATATACAAATACCAAAATTCGGACTCGCAAAGGGAAATTTACCATTAGGGTACGCTAATGGTAACAAACAGTAAATATGTATTTATCGAAAGGAAACTTTTATTGAGTGTGAAGCTTTAAATTTGTTTTGTTCTCTTTTAAAAGTCTTAAGCAACGCAGAAGAAAATTAACTGTGAAGAAATCTGAGAGCAAATAAAACAATGAAACAACTACTACAAACCTAAAAGTCTCCCCAGTAACGAAGCAAACAACGTAAGAAGAAGATCAATGGATCATGAAGCGGAGCTAAATTTCATGATGAGAGAGAGACTCAACCAGAAGTGGGAATCATGTTCAAAACTTTCATCATGAATGCAAATGTAAAGGCATCTTCTTGAAGCTTCTCGAATCTGCATTTTCATATCAATCAAAACACAAGTCAATCAGATACCGAACCGGAAGGGTATGTGTTTGTATTGTTGAGACAAAAGGAGTAATAAGTTTGTACCTCCCGGATTTTGAGAAATGCCCAGCGCCAAGCTCGCATTTGAACAGAAGCAAGTTCTTGTCAGTCTTCATCTCTCTCAGTTTCGCCACAAACTTGGCGGGTTCAGAGTACATAACTCTTGGATCTGTTGGATAGAAACAGTTTACAAACGTCGTCGATAAGTCGGAAAAACTAATCATTTCCCAAGCTGTTTTACTCCGAGAATCAGCACGAAATAACGTATTTAGTCAATATCTAAACTGTATCTAGACAAAGGAAGACTTACCATTTAACCCAGCAGTTACAAGAATATTTGGATAATTCTGCGCCATAACCTGTTATATTGTGAATAGATGCATCAACACAGAGAACTTCCATAACCATTTGTTGCAAATAATACTAAAAGAAGTGATTTACTCACATTGTCAACAGGGGAATATGACTTCATATAGAAGTAAAATTCTTCCTTTCTGGGATCACCCCACTCCTACAATGATTAAAGCCAAAAATAAGAAGCATGTTTTCAGATGAATAACAGAGAGATAAAACTTTATTGAATCAATTCAAATGATAATTCACAGTGCAAATCGCTATAGACACATGCAG